GGTCGGGTTCATTCCGGATTTGTTGTTGCCTTCGGACGTCCATCAGAAGCGACCGCGTACCCTGGCCCATCCGTTGGATCATCTCTATCCGCCGCGGAAACGCTTCAGGTCGTATGGGTGGGATCCATGGGATCGATAAGAAGAATAACGGTTAATGGTTGCTTGCGTTCATAGGTGCAGAGTCATATACCTTGGAAAATGTTTGCAATTTATTGTGCATTCGAATTTTCGAACAGGTAGCCATTTTAGGTAAGTAGGAATATACCATAAACCATTCCGATCTTCGATGCCGAACATGGACTCATTTGTAAGTGAAATTGAAAGGGTCAGAGAGATCGATGCGGATTTACAAGAATTATATTCGGATCGAAAGGTATATCAGAGGCGCTTGGAAAGGGTCTGAGCCATAGGGCGCTTTTATATTCGGTTAATGCGTGAATATGAGGGGTATGGTGCTGCGTTGGGGGTTGGAGAACCCCATTATGAATCAGGTGCCGCATTTGGAATTCTAGTGATTTTCATAAAGTCTATCAGCTGACGCGGTTGAATGGGGACGGAAATGGACGTTTTGGAAGTGTGCCACTTTGAACTGACAGTGACTATCAAAACTGTCTGGGGTATGTGCGTCGGTTAGAAAGTGATGAAAACGATTAGGTCTATCAAAATGCAAGTTATAACGCGGGTATTGCACATTCAACAGGTCTTCAATCCAATAGTAGTGGATTATATGATGGCCCTGAAGGGGGAAATAGTTCGGATGACATTCAGGCAGTGTCTAACGTGGATTCAGATAGTGACGATTTGGACATTATGCGGTATTTGGGGGTTTGCAATAATATAAACATGTATGGATAGCCATTTCGAATAGGAGTAACGTGATACGCTTGTGGTTTTATAATAGGGATATTTCCAATTTCAATAAAATTCCAGGTATTAATTTAGGGTTCGAGTTGGGGTAATGATTGGGTTGGGGTAAAATAAATAAAGATTAATTTAATTCCCCAATAATTCGTTTCCGTTTCAATAACAAAATATAACATCAAGATGACTATAACTTGTTCACTACAAAATTTTAATATCGCAAATAAATAATATTTTTGGTTCCATAAATTTCTACCCCCTCGATTTACTTACGCTAACCCGAAACAACCTGAACAAAACTATAATATTAATTTGCTTAAGAACGTTTTATAGCGTGCACCGAAAATAGACGTAGTTTGGGTGACGAAAGCTTCCCCGGTAGACTGGAGGCTTAACCATCAGTATTCCCGAGGAAGCTTTCGCAAAATCTGGCGATTCCACGAAAGCGGCTCGATATTTTGACGTTTTTGGTGAAAATGTGCTTATTGGGACCGTCTTTTCGCTGCGAATTCCGCTTTTCGCAAAAAATCGCACTAAATGTTTGACTTTCCAGGTCCAAATCCGGGTTCCGCCTGTGGTTTGGGTCTGGTGAGTCAGACTCCGACCTCTACACCTTCAATTTCACTCCGTATTACTTTATTTAGGACTCTATAGCCATAGATTAGGATGTCTTTCCGGTATGGGAGCCCTAAACGGTGGGGTTACACCTTGGACCGCGACGATGTGTCCATGGGAGGGTACGTCCACATCATGTTTTGTGAGAAC